TCTATTATGCCTGTAAGAACAGTAGTGAGTTAGGTGAAATATGCCAGTCAGTTTAAGGCAGGTTTATTTGCCTACTTTGAATGTATTACCAAATGAGAATCTTCCAGATTCAAGATTTTGAAAAGTTACTTTGTAGAGAAAGCTGTCTGGCACAAAACTAGATTCAGTAAAATAATTTATTCGCTTATAGGATTACTGTGGGGAAGATACAGTGCAAGAGGAAGAAGACAGAATAGCTTTCAGAAGAGTAATATATACAGAAAATATAATTTAAAAAATATATTTGTTTCTTCATGGCCCATTAACTCCTAAGGCTTCTGTGTTGGTGTTTTCACATCCTAGAATACCTACTGCCAACACATCGGCTTGGAGTTTATGTTCATCAATGATGTGGAGCAGTGCCAGTGGATCCGGCAGAAGTTTGAGACGCCGGGAGTTATGAAGTTTACTAATGAGGAAAAAAGGACTTTGTTGGCAAGGCTGGTGCGCTCAATGAGGTATGCTGGGGTGGTTCTGGGAAACTGCTCTGTCACTGTTGGGTCTAAGCTGGTGTGGGAAGCTGGTGCGGTCTGTACACTGCTGAGATGGAGGTGAAGAGTCTAAGTGAAATCTGCAGTACAGGTGGGTGTAGTTAACCTGGCTGCAATATCAAAGGAAAGTGTGTGCTGTGAGGTATATCAGTGTAGAGACTTTTAGTATTCTATTTTCTTAAAAGGCAGGTTGTGTTCTGTAACACTTGTGCCGCCTTTAGTGGCATATCTGGCAATGTTTTCATTGGCTTGCGGAGATAAGCTGGGAAAAAATTGTTTCAGCAGACTAATAATATATATCTGTGTTAAAGATTCATAACCTGTTTCAGAAAATCGGTGTCAGAACAACGTTCAATACTGATCTTCTGTTATATTCTATCTACTGTGCATCTTTCTAGTAGCACATGATCAAAGGAAGCCATCCTAACAATCAGCTCAAGGAGAATTTTTAGGTGGGTGGAATGTTGACATGAGCGTTAGACTCGCTGGGATGCTAACAGTCTCTTTGGAAAGCTGTGCCAAGGTGGGACTGGATTTGAGAGGCATATTGTGATTTCAAGTCCTGGTTTTGCCCTTTTACTTTTGAGGGATGCCAAGATGTGCTGTACTGTTACATGACCTGGCAGCAGGAGTTTTGGTCTCTGCAATGTTTGAAAGGATATTTGGAAACAGCTTATTGATTGCTCCCTTTGTGGCTATCTGTATGGAAATAGGGTAACCCCAGAGACTGAATTACCCTCTCACCCCTAGAACGAGATTGTTTTTAAGTCTTTTAACAGAGAAGTTTAATCAAAAAACATATCTTTATAAGTCTCTAACTTTTGTGTTTGTCAAAGGATATACAAACTGTTTCAGATTGTAAGAACTGTAATAAATCTTGTGCCTAAGACGACAAAGTGCTCTTTGGAGGTGCTGGAAGATATTTTTTCCAGGTTTTGTTTGCCAATACTACAGCAAGATTGTTTGGTTAAAAGTTTCATTTAAACAGAAATAAAAAAGTCACTTAATGGCCAAATGAATATTGCACTTGAGTAAGTTTATTTAACAAGCTCTCAGTATGAACCATCTCCATTTATCTTGAGATAAGAATTTGTGCTTTTATTCCTGCCTATCTAAACTGTGGAAAGATCTGAGGTTTCTAGTAGCATGAAGGAGCTGAACATTCATCTTCTGCCAAATTAATTGTCTGCTGAAAATGGAAGAACACGGTTTTACATAAATTTATATTCAGCTATCTCTAGTGTGCTTTTTTTGGTCTGAAAATGATCAAGAAAAAAATCTGGTGTTGTGAAAAATGGGTGGTGCTCTTGAGATTTGTGGTGTTGTAAAGCAGATAGTAATCATTTTGCTCAAGAATACTGTTTCCAGAAATGTTAATTCCAAGTACTACCTACTTCAGGTACTTGAAACTGAATTTTAAAGTAGGATTTCTCATCCTTTCTGGTGTTCATTGGTAGGTTATTGAACAAAGGATCATTTTTAACTCTCCTGAAAAATACTCATTGCATATCTTTGAGCCACTTTGTGTATGCATTAGTAAACATGTTAGACCCTGATGTGTAGTCTGACCTGGGCATTTTCTTAAGCTGTGCAGGGTCAAGCCTTTCTAGATTAACCCTTCTGAGAGTAACCGTCTTTCATAAGACTTGCTCTTCATTGGGTGCTGAACATATGCATTGACAGCAGATGAGCTGCCAGCCCTTGTGAACTTAGTGACACATGGGGGATTTGCAAGATGTGCCTGTGAAATATTGTAGTTCTGCACACTTAGTGGCAGTTTGCCTCAAATAATGAACTTTCTGCTTGTCCAGTATTGGCTTGACTTTCAGCTGCAAAAATGAGGAAAACAGTGTGTACAACCACCATTTGATTTGCTCTGTAGGACCTGCTGTTCACATGGGACCCCACTTTCAGTTTATATAAACTGGCACAGCCCCACAGACTTCCCTGAGGAATCCTGGCAGCATAGCTCAGCTGAGGGTCTGGCTTGTTGCATAGATGGCTGAATTTTAAGGGTATTGATGGGTGAGCTAAGGAAAGTCTTTTCGCAACTCTTTCTTTCGCTGCTTTTAGGGCTTCAATCTAAAGAAGTAAATGTCAGCGTTCTAAGTGAGGAATAAGCTGAGTATTAATAGATTATGGCAGTATTATGAGTCAAGGCATTGCACAGATGATGTAACCAATACAGTTATTTTCATGAAGATGTATTTTCTTTGCTTTTTGTATATCTCCAAGCTTTACAACATATAATCCTTTCAGCATTTGTTAAAGGGTACTTTTTAACCACTCACATTGCCTCTGGCCCAAATGCATTAAAGAATGAAAAAACATAGAGCTGTCAAGGCTTGACATCTTTCTCCTGCTGCAGCTGAGGCAGAGATACCAGTGTCCTAGTTCTTGGTATGTTACCAACTTTTAAATCACACAGTCTGAGGAGCCCTGCCATTGAATAGGACCTATGAAATAGGTGTGCTTTCAACTGTATTTCTAAAAGTTTTTAATCGTTACTTCCAGAAAACACAGGTTCTCTGTTATGTTGTCTTCAATCCATAGAAGAGACATCTTTGCTGTTACTCTGCCTTCCCAGTGGTCAGTACACATTTTGTATACATGGGAAGGAGCAGAGTTTAACTTGGGAAGTGAGTTTTGTCAAAGGTGGACACTCTTCTTCCTGTCTGAATTGTTTCAAAGTCCTGGTAAATACTTCTCAAATGGAGGAGAAAGAAGACTTAATTCTCTCCTATGTCTCCCTCCCTACATGTGACTTACTTCCAGAGGCCTAAAAGCATGTATTCACAGATGTTTTAAAACAGTTTAGTGTGAGTTTTATTTTCTGAAAGATGTTTGATAATAGGTATTTTCTACATTACCTTAACACAAACACTCTCTCTTGTTTTTTTGGGTTTCTTTCTGACAAAGATTTGAAGACTTCCTTGCTCGGAAGTGGTCTTCTGAAAAGAGATTTGGTTTGGAAGGATGTGAAGTAATGATCCCTGCACTTAAGACCATCATTGATAAATCCAGTGAAATGGGAATTGAATATGTTATAATGGGGATGCCTCATAGGTAATGTCAATGGAAACCCCCCAACAAATGGGCTTATTGTCTTAAGACAAGTTTTGGTTTCTAGAATTTTATTAACTAAGTTGATATTAGAGAAGCTAGAGTCAGTCATAGCGAGTAATGGGAACACAGAACTGTAGCAAATACCTGTCAGTGAGAGGCTACAGGCTTCACAGGTAAGTGCTAGAGAAACTTTTCAGTGTGCTTGGAAGCTGCAAGCAAATGTGGCAGCAGCCATGGTATCCATCCCATCGCATAGAGTCTAGAACTGAGAAAGCTTGATGAGGTAGGATCAAACTTACTTTTGCAGTCTGCCTTAATTAATTAATTATTAATGTCATCGTGTTAAAACTGCTAGATAGCTACAAAATTCATTGCTCGTACTTGGATAACTAGGCATTATAAAAAGTCTGTGGGAATGCTTTGGAGGAACTTTACAAAGGGAGGAGAAGGGTAGAATGAAGGATTTCAGGTTCAAAATTTTGAACTGAACTTCTTACATGCAAATTTCTGACAGATATGTCTTGTTGATTTTATAAGTTTTATGCTGTTAACTCTGTTATTACCATTTTTGAGACATAACTATGTTTGGAATTTTCTTAGAGGTAGGTTGAATGTATTGGCTAACGTAATCCGAAAAGAGCTGGAGCAGATCTTCTGTCAGTTTGATCCCAAACTTGAAGCAGCTGATGAGGTAAGATGCTTCTTCAGTAGATCTATATAGAGAGGTCAACATTCAAGGTAGTTTTTAGTTATTTTGGTCATGGTTACTATGAAAATAGCATTGTCAGCTGCTGAAATGCATTGTCGTCTTTTCTAGTTTGAAGAATATGATTTGGTGAAATTTCTTAACAAATTTAAAGACTATACTGCACCTCTAACATGCAGAAGGTGTCTTAGGAATGACTGTAGATAAATAAGTTCCAGGTCATTTGACTGAGTTTGTAATCTCTAAGTATCTTTGTTTCATATAAACGAAATGAGTATCAATATTCTGTAAATATTTATCCCATATTGGATAGTGACACTAAAATAATAAAATAGGAACAGTGTTCCAATTTGAAATTACGGTGTCAAACCCATAGTGCATACTGATGTACAATTAGCTAGATGCATTTTTTAGACTGAAGCATAAATTTTAGGTGTAGTCCATCGGATGCAGCTGGTATGAATGACATTCCTGAATTGTGACTACATCTGGCATGTTAGGGATCTGGGGATGTAAAATATCATCTGGGAATGTACCATGAGAGAATCAACCGAGCAACAAACAAGAAAATCACTCTGTCCCTGATGGCTAACCCTTCTCACTTGGAAGCAGTCGATCCTGTTGTGCAAGGGAAGACAAAAGCTGAACAGTTTTATCGAGGGGATACAGCAGGGAAAAAGGTAAAGATTTTTTTAATATGGAAACTCTTACTGGTAGTTTTTAATAGAATAGAATAGAATAGAAATAGTTTACCAGTAGTTTCATACCTCAGAGTCTTCCTCCTTCACAAAAGGGATATATCACCTGTTGAACTAGGTGTGGTTTTTGACATGGTACCTCAAGGATAACTTCAGGAAGTAGACTTAAAACTTTCTTTCATTTGCAAACTGAACAAAGGCAGCAGAGTGCTGCAAGTCTATGGTTTATTATAAAAATACATTTTATAAATACTACAGAAATACAGAGAAGCTTCAATTCTCCTGCTGAGAATTCAATTACAGTTTTGCTTTCTAATATATGTGTGCATTTGTGTGTACAATCCTTCCTCTTAGGTTATGTCCATATTATTACATGGGGATGCTGCCTTTGCAGGACAAGGAGTAGTTTATGAGACATTTCATCTTAGTGACCTCCCATCCTACACCACAAATGGCACTATTCACGTTGTGGTGAACAACCAGGTAACAAGTAGAGCATTTTCTAATCAATTTGTCTGCTGAATAATTGCTAGTGTATTTCTTTTTATTCTTGTTTGTTATTAGTTGGGTGCATTGTCCACCTCTGTTTATTAGAATGGTTAGGATGTTCCTGAAAATGATCATAGCTTCTAGCAGCTCTGAGTGGATAATATTTTTATCACCTACATTTATTTCATTCAATTTATAACACTTAATTAGATTAGGTTTGCTTTGTTTTGTTTTTAAGGGAGTAAAAAGAAGCTAGGTAGCCAAAATGAAAAGCTGATACTACTGCTGTGTAAATTATTATTAAGTGAAAACCTCAAGTGTTCAACACAAACTAGAAGAAGATGCTGACATTTTAATGGAAGTTTCTGGAATTTTTAGATTGGCTTCACCACAGACCCCCGTATGGCCCGTTCATCTCCATATCCTACTGACGTCGCTCGTGTGGTCAATGCTCCTATTTTTCATGTGAATGCTGATGACCCTGAAGCAGTGATGTATGTGTGCAGTGTAGCTGCAGAATGGCGAAACACGTTCAATAAAGATGTGGTGGTTGACTTGGTAAGTCTCGGTTTTCTTACTTTTAATTTTGTGTAATATGTACTACTCTCTTATTTTTTGTGGCTTAGAAGACCCAGTCAAGAAACATATTTGGATTTTAATGGCCTTTAGTTTCTTCATTTTAAAAAAAACCCAAACAACTAACAGCCCCACAAGAATCCATAAATGTTTTTACACCATAAACCTCCTAAAATCTCTATAAAACTATGCAAATGAAAGATTTCATTGTACATTTTTCCTTACCAACAGAAACAATTTTCCCCTTTGTAGGTTTGTTACCGTAGGAGAGGGCACAATGAAATGGATGAACCAATGTTCACCCAGCCTCTAATGTACAAGCAGATTCATAAGCAGGTGCCGGTGCTGAAGAAGTATGCTGACAAACTGATTGCAGATGGGACTGTAACACTGCAGGAGTTTGAGGTACACGTCAACAGAGTTAAAGGGAACTTAACAAGTTTTCAATAGGAAGACACAACTGTCACTGTATGCTGTCTGCCTAAAAACTTTCCTTTCATTACTGTGATAAGTCTTCACCCTTTGACACTTTCTGATTCTATTTTGTTTGGATTTTCATATCAAATAGATAGTGTTGTTGTAACAAAAGGACTGAAAGTGCTGTGAAATAATGAATACATATTGCACAGAAAAAAAATTTGCTTCAATTCTGAGATTTGTAAAACGTGGTCAGAAGTGAATGTTGGAGATGGAGGCATTTGTTAGGTCTTCTTCATCTAAAATCTTGATTCAGCAGTAAGACAGTATTTGAATGTTTATAGGTAGAAGTGTAACTTCATATTGATAACCTTGTCAGGCTTGTATCCAGCAATAATGCAATAAAATCAATTTAACCTTTTTATTTTCTTGCAATAATTCAACTAAGTTCAGAGATCATTTGAAATACTCCTGAAGGATGAAGTGTAGAGTCTGGTGCTTGTATTAAGCTGGTTAAGTCTTTACCTTAATCTTTTTGAAAGTGAATGTGTAGAGTCCACATGCAACAAAGGACCTTCTGAGAAGGTGTGGCTAACTATGTAGTGACACAGTATTGTAGATCAACAAAAAGGCTGTTTGCATAGGTGTGTTCTGTTATCCATAAGAATAACTGCTCTTGCAGAACTAGCTATCCTGAATCATTGTAAGAGTGTGCCAGAAGTGGCATGGGCTTTGGTGACTGGATCCAGGATCCTGGATATTTTGCTCTCCACACTGAGCTCAACTTTGCTGTTAATTACTTTGAAGACTGGCTAGCTTAGTAACTTGAGTGTGGTTTTGGATTGAAAAGTATATATTCTAGAGGCATTCTGCCTCTACAAAATATGACTTTGTATCTGTTGCCATTGACAGATATGGCCAGCAGATTCTTAGCTAAACTCTCTTAGGCAGACTAAGTTTTCTAGGAGATTCCTTTCTAGTCTTTAGTGGCTTCTGTGTCCTGAAGTATGAGAGCTGGATAATGCTGATCTTAGAAGTATGACTGTAAATTGTATTTGGTACTTCAGTTCTGTCTCATTCTGGACTACTGGTTGCAACTTCAGCTCTTGGTACTCCCCTCTGTAACACCTGTCCAATAAACTAAATTTAGTTTAGACTAATTTAGAGTAATGTGGGTAAGCATGTTTCTAGAAGGCAATTTGATCCTAGATAAAATGAAATTGTTTGCATAACTGTAACTAAATTTTCTTCTGGAGTAAAATAACTGGTTTTATTGTACTGAATGGTAGGTCATCTGTAAGACACAAAGGTGTTATGCTTATCTGTTTTAAAAAAAGTTTTTGTTCTACAGGAAGAAATTGCGAAGTATGATAGAATATGCGAAGAAGCATATACTAGATCTAAGGATAACAAGATCCTACATATCAAGCACTGGCTTGATTCACCTTGGCCTGGTAAGAAGTGTCCTTTCACTTATCCTAGTGTTAATATTATTGTGCTTTTATTTTGAGTCCCTATTCCTTTTTTTTTTTTTAACAGACAGTGTTTCTTTAAAATAAAATACGTGTCTTTTGGTTTGCCCCTGTTAATAGTAAATAAAACATTCTGCCAGATCAACTTGAAAGAGGTGCTTTTCTTAAAAAAACATGCAAAGTAGGGTGTAACTTTGAAAAAGACCACTTTTCAGTATAGCAGAGAAGTGTTTTTCATGTAATGTTAACTGTCTGTGCCTTCAGGAAAAGAAGAGTATGTCTCATGCTCTTTTTTTTTTGCGGGATTGAGGTGCTGTGCCCATATGGTTGGACTTCACAGGGAGTGAAAGCAGAAACAAAACAGATCATTGTGTGCCTGTAAGATCACATTCTGTTGTCATGTTGTCTGTCAAAATGATTGTGTCTCCCAGTGAAAGGTGAAGAACTTGCTTTAGGCTGCTGCTTAGAATGTCTTTTAAGAGTTGTCAGTTTTTAAATAAATTGTAAATAATGTAGATATCTCTTAACCAGCCTTTGAACATCTCACCAAATCTTTTACCTCCAGGATTCTTTAATGTGGATGGAGAACCCAAGAGCATGTCTTGTCCTCCAACTGGCATTTCAGAAGACCTGCTGACTCACATTGGCAATGTAGCTAGTTCAGTGCCAGTCAAAGACTTCAAAATACATGCAGGTCAGCTGGAGTCTTTGTTTCTCCTAGTGGCTCTGTTTCTTGCTCGGATTTTATATTTCTGCACATGAGTTGCTATTAGGCCGTTTCCCAAAGACAAAAATGCCTGTGACTTTATTTTAACTCTTCCTCCCTACGGGCAAGGAGAATGTGACTGTTAAGGTCCTGCTGCTTGTCCTCAGCATAATTTTCTTTCAGTATCACACCACTTCTGTTCCCTACCTCATTAAAATATGTTTTCCTCTGAGGGAGGTAAGAGTTTCTTTGTAACACTAATACCTCCTTTCGTTCTTCGAGTCCTTGCGGAAAATGCTGCTTCTCTGCAGTACATTTACAGGCCTTACTGGGAAGTAAGGCACCCATCTCAGGAAGCACTATTAATGGGGTTTTTTAATGCTAAAACCATTGGTAATTTGAGGTCCACTTAAGACATCTTTCTTGTAGTTAGATAAGTTTCTGCTCAGGAATAGAGCTTGGTCTTTCCAGACCTGGCAATGTTGCTGATATACTATAAGCCCAATTTTAGTGCAGCCGAATAGACTCAGTGTGGGCAAATTCAGACACAGTTTTCTTTCAGCTTACCATTTAGCGTTGATGATAGCACAAATCTAGCTTTTTCTCAAAAAGTCTTAGTGCTTGGTCTGAAGAGATTCAATTCCAAATTTGGCATCTATTACAATAAGAAGTTAAGTGTGCCTGTCTCACGGGGAAGCGCCTGGCACCGTGTCAAAGTTCCGAGTTAATTCTTTTACTTCCTGGTCAGGTTGAAGTCTAACAGCTCTACAGGGAGCAATAACATATTCATTCCATGGGGAAACATGGGGATACTTTGTTTAGAGGTATTTTTTCTTTTGTTGGCTGGTAGGGAATGTACTTAGGATCAGGAGAAAAAGCTTTTTTTTTTCCTGGGTAAAATCTCTAGCTAATTTTTCTTCTCCCGAGTCTTCCATCAAGGAATAAAGTGTGTCTGCTGTATATATATTCTATGTGTTTGTGTTCCTTGGGGACAAGTAAACACCTGTTACAAGTAATGATGATAGGGCATTCCCAGTTATCAATTGCAAGCTTGTTGAGCAGATACAATTAATAGATGAACTTTAAAACTCTTCTACCCATTTGTGCACTTTGTGACACTGATAAATTTGAAATTATAGTCAGCCAATAAAATTTAGTATTAGACTTTCTAATTAAAAAGGTAAGACAGCCTGTCTTCAATAACTTGATTAACCGTTGACACTAAGTAACACTTGCTAGTATATGAGATAGATTTATGGTTCAAAGCAAACTTTGGTCTGCTAGATTCTTTTATGGAGTTTAAAAGGCCATGAAAGAGAAAATTTTGGGAGAATTAGAAGGGGAAGAGTACCTTTGAAAAACTTTATCCTTCCACTAGGACAAAACAGCTTAATGTATTGCAGTCTTTCAACAAACAATTGGAAGATTATTTGTTTTATCACGTTTAGAATATTCTAAAGGGAAAATTGTCAAGTTTTGGTTTTTTACTTAAATTGCAATAATTTCAGCGAGAGAATAGTTTTATGTGGAAAGCAAGCAGGGCGATTTTTGTAAAAATGAGGAAAGTAACAAAGGGAAGTATGGGAAAATAACAAATAGGACAGCTTGCCAAAAGTGTCAGTGCAGATGTGAAAATAAGGTGGTATCATGTGATGCTGAATACAGTAGGCTTATAGCTTCAAAGCTGGAAGCACCCATGTGCAGTTTTGAAGTTTTATTCCCTTTAGAAGTCACAGCGTTACATCTTGTGTTTTGGCTGACCAAGTTATAAAGTCTTCACTGTAAAATAAACAGCTTTTGGTTACCAATTGAAAATCCGTTCACAGATGCTACAATCTCCTATTTCTATGATATTTATAATATTGATTAATCTGGCCTGTTTCTTTTTATAACATCTCCAGAAGTCCGATAAGATAAATGCCAAGAAAAAAATATGAGGAAGAGAGAATAAAAAAATCACAAAATCAATAGCTGATATTTTCAGTCTCTTATTAAAACAGTACTTGGTGTTAGAGATGTAAAAATAAATCTTTCAGAAGTATTTCACCATGAGTCTTTTGAATTGTCCTGAGCAGCTTCTGACACAGCCAATCTTATTTTCTTCTTCTAAAACAAGGTATGAACATTTTAAAACCCTTTGCCTGGGAAACAAGTTTTACTTTGCTAGCAGTTCAGTTCTAGAAGAGCAATTTGTTCATGAAGCCAGTGGGGAAGGAGAATGGTGAATGTAATGTGAACATAAAATATCTCTGAAGTAGGTCCATTGATTTCTGATCTTTATTCCAATGTAGGACTCTCTCGGATTTTGAGAGCCCGCTTGGAGATGACCAAGAACAGGGTTGTTGACTGGGCCTTAGCAGAATACATGGCTTTTGGGTCTTTTCTGAAGGAAGGGATCCATGTCCGACTAAGTGGACAGGATGTGGAGAGGGGTACTTTTAGGTGAGTACTGAGATAACTGTTAAATGCTGTCCCATAATTAAAGAAACACCTTGACATTTTTTAAAAAATATGATCTTCTGTGGGGAAGGGGAAGCTGAGGCTATTCAGCATCAATTTGGATGTTACAGATTCTGGCAGTCAAGAGTAATCTGATCTCCTGTGTCTCTGCAAAGACAATTAAAGAATTGTATTTAAGGCAGAACAAATGTTCTTAGATACTTTCTTCCTTCTGTTGCTGTAAAGCAGAAATGGTTTTTTTTCCCTGCTTTTTTAACTAAAAATTCAGCTGCAATCCTTTTAATTGCTGAGAAGTAAAAGAAGGGTATTTGCTGCTGCAGATTCTGAAGTCTTTTGAATACCATTCCAGTGGTGGCTGCTTGGAACTCGGGTATCCTGTGAACAAACACATTGCCAATTGGCAAAGCTTTTTGAAGTGTAACAAGATGTGTTACAGAGTGGCTGGAGAGCTGCCTGGCGGAAAGG